CAGACAAGAGCCAGACAGACGAGGGGAGAAAGGCAGAGAAAGCCAGCCARACAGGCAGACACACGCGGCCACACACCCGCAGGCACAGAAGGAGAAAAGAGGAAGAAGAGACAGCCAACCAAACAGCCACCAAACAAACAGTCAGACACACAGTCTGGCATAGTCAGACACAMTGTCAGACRCATAATCGGGCACAGTCAAACAGACAGGCAAACACAAACAAAATAGACAATCGGCACAGACAAACAAACGAAAGGACGAATACAGTCCTTCTGGCAGTCAGATGCAAACAAGACACAGACTGTCAGAAAAAAACAGGCACAGACAAGCGAAACAGGCGGGCAAACCGACAAGCAAACAGACAATGATAGGCAAGCAGACAGGCGGATGCAGACTGACGCAAGACGCACACTGACAACAGATTGACACTGTAACATCTGATTACACAGATTGACGATAAGRCTCAGACTGATGCTGTGACACCCAATCACGCACGAAACAAATTACAAACAGTCACAMACTYGAAAAATGTAACACACGGTTGGTATGGCACTCAGACACACGGAAGGAAAACACAGCAGAGACGTGGAGAGAKAGAAAGAKAAAACGACACTTACACACAGAAAGWGAGATGAAATGAGGARATAGAGAGAAAAAGGGATAACGAAAGATGTACTTGGTGATCGAGGTAAACARCATTTGGCCGAGATCTGTTCATACCTTGGAAAGTTGTGGGCATCACGGGTAGCATAGTAGATTRGACTGRATAGGATCTGCCCTTCGTWGTCTGAGAACCAAGCACCTGATAGCAGTTCGACATTGGTTCTTCGATTGGTRATGATGAGACTGTTCCGACATTATCACTTATGAGCCTTGTTGTACTCTTATCCGGTGAAACATGTGATGCAACTCTGCTATTTAGATCGGAGTYACGATTATCCGGTCTTGCGTAYATGATGTTGTCTTGATTGYTGAAGTTCGTTCTTGATCACGTACCWTGCATTATTTATACKATTGTTATAACTATTATTATTATTATTRTTATTATTGTCACTATTATTATTATTATTATTATTATTATTATTATTATTATTATTATTATTGTAAGGACCCAACCCCTAAGTGGCCCTATTAGGCATCACATTTTTCTATGCTATGGCCCCAATCAGCGAAAAGGCCGCCTTTAGTGAAGGTGGGCCTGAATATTCATCTCACGGCAATTCGACATATCCGTGTGCGGGTGTTTAGGCTCCTGCAACGCATCAGTTGGTTGATTGAAAACACGGACCTTACTAATTCGTGCCATACAACAGGCCCAGGCCACGAAAGTTGTGGAAGGGCACCTAAACACAAAACGGGGTAGCAGAAATAGGCGGCCGTAGACATGCTGTTGAGCGCCAGGGGGTACAACGGATGATCGAGTGATCTTTTGGGGATAAGGCATTGTGAGGGATAATTAAGGTCTGATTTAGGGTGACGAGATATGTACCTAGCACACAAGAGAGAGGTCGCCGATGGTATGGCTAGACATATGATCCGGAGTGATCCCGTTGAGTGAACCAGATGTAGCGTAGGATAGTATGGCAAAGTAGGCCGAGCACCGTCCGCCAGACAAGAGAGAACTACTTTGGATATTGTGTTGGTAAGGCCTACAGGTTTGGACATTACCTCATCACCCCTTTGTATTGCCTTATTTGGATAGTTATTCAATACCTGTACATTCTATATTCATGCATGGATAAACAAGACGTCTACTGAATTCGGAGTTTGGATCTCTATAAAATATATACCTTACATTATTATTATTATTATTATTATTATTATTATTATTACTATTATTATTATTATTAATATTATTATTATTATTATCATTATTATTGTTATCTATTGATTATTAAGTAAGTTTGATCTTGGGCCAGGAGAGGAGAGGAAAGCAGGGCAGTGTAGAGGAAAAAGGACATCGTCACCGTGGTGATGGTGTCCACCTCCATTATCCTTCTTCCCGCTCCCTTGATCTGAGTTGCTCTTTCTTCTTTTCTTCACATTTATCCAAGGTTATTGTTGATTGTCATATTCATGCGCGCCATCTTGCGACTCGTTGGTTGATGACAAAAGAAGTGGGGGAAGATCAGATGTGAGGAAATGTTGGGTAATGGAGAGGAGAGCAACATTGTCACCATGTGACAAGTGTCTGCCTCCTCCATCCTTCTCCGCTCTCCCATGGTCTAATCCCCTCACTCCCTTCACAAAGCTATCCAAAATAGTATGATATCTTTGAATGAAAAGCCTATTCTGTAAAGGACGAATGTTCAGATGGTCCGACAAAGCAGGGCGATTGCGGGAGCTCTGCCGGAGTTCAGGAGGAACTCTGGAGGCAGGGAACCTTAAGGTACGCACGCTTCATTCTTTTCCCATATACCCATAAAAGCTACACCCTTCTATTATCTGCTTGTATGATTGTACGATATATTGTTTATGGCTTCTTCAGGACTAAAGCACCAAAAGCAAAAGGACTATATGATTGAAATCAGAACGTGCCTGATGTCAGAAAAGGAACCTAGGAAAAAACTAGGAAGGAACCTAGCCTGCATGGTCTTGAGAAGACAAAGGCGGTATGATAGAGGCCTCCGTTGGGGTTGTCACGCTACCTGCATGGAATGACTAAAAGGGTACTTGCCTTGCGAACTACCCAGCCATCCACCTAACTAGTTAACTTTTGACATGCATACATTGATGACAGGAAGATGCCGTGCATCTTCTCTCCTGAGTCACCAGCTAAATCCAAGACTAATCCGGTACTCCCGTGGAGGACATGTCTTCAAGTGATTAATCAAAGCATGACTAATCCAGTACCCCCGTGGGGTACACGTTTTCAAAACAACTAACAAAAGCAAAGGTAATGGGAGGCTCCCGTGGGGTTCTCCTATCACTAATCTGACTAGACTTGGGATGGGAATTAAGTACTCCCGACTGAGTACACGAACTCCTAAGTCTAGGTCGATCTGTGTGACTTCCGTGTAAGTCAACAATATCTTTTGCTCAATTTAACACATAAACGAATAAATGTACGATCAGGGCGACTAACCTAAGAGTGGTCTTGATCTCCTACGCATCGAACTGGTATTAGGGTGACTCCCTGGAGAGTTATCCTAATACTTCGTTTGATCTGGGGATCAACTAACGAGGAAAAAATGAGCTGATTATGTCTGGATAGGTAAAAGGGATACTCCCGGGTGAGTAAACCTGCTACTTGTCTTGGTAGGACTAATGGATTGACAACATTTGATACTAATGGCCTAACTAAAGTTAACAAATTGGTATAATGATTAGTTAACTCGGACATTTGTAGCAGGAAGATGTCGTGCATCTTCCCTATTGACAAGCAGGTTACATTGACAACCGTCATTTGATCCAGTACTTCTGTGAAGTACATTCTTTTAACTAACAAGAGCCAATTGATCCGGTACTTCCGTGAAGTACATCCTTCGGTTTAACAGAAGTCATTTGAACCGGTACTTCCGTGAAGTACACTCCTTCAGTTTAACGAAATTCATTTGATCCGGTACTTCCGTGAAGTACACTTCTTCAACTTAACAAAAGTTCAGCGATCTGGTACTTCCGTGAAGTACACTTCTTCAAACTTAACGAAAGTCAGTTTGACCGGTACTTCCGTGAAGTACATCCTTCAGTTTAACAAATGTCATTTGATCCGGTACTTCCGTGAAGTACATTCCTTCAGTCTAACGAAAGCCGACTTGATCCGGTACTTCCGTGAAGTACACTCTTTCAAACTTAAYAAAAGYYATTTGATCGGTACTTYCGTRAAGTACGATCCTACAATCGTTAGCAACAACCATTGACCCGGTACTCCCGTGGGGTACRCTCCTTCAGCTTAACAACAACCATTGATCCAGTACTCMYGTGGGGTACACTTCTTCAGCTTAAMGAAAGCCAATTAATCCAGWACTCTTGTAGGGTACTAATCTTCAAAAGCTAACAAAGGCAAAAGGTAGYAGGAGGYTTYYGTGAAGCTCTCCTATCACTAATCGAACCAGACTTGGRAGGGATTCGAGTAMTCCCRGGTGAGTGTACRAACTCCTAAGTCTGRGTCGATCTGTCCRACTTCCCGTGGGAGCCAACATACYTTTTRCTCACTTACTACKCATAGRCSAGTTAGGTGAAYTGTCGGGGCAACTCAATCAAGAGTTGTTCTTGATCTCCTATGCATCAAACTGGTAGTAGGATGGCTCCCTGGTGGGTTGTCCTAATACTTGTTTGATTTGGGGGTCAACTAACTGAGGGCAGGGATGAGACGAATATGTTTTGGACAATAGAAGGATGCTCCCGGGTGAATTATCCGATCACTTGCACTAATTGCATGARTTGCTTGATTGCATTACCTAAACTTTGAGGGGTGACTGAGTGCTCCCGTGGGGCGACTCGACTACTCTTCTGACTAACGGAATGTTTGGAACTGATCAAGTAGTGGAAGATTCTCAGGTGAATCGGCTTACTACTTGCGTATGTCAGGACAAGAAGAGACGGGAAGGAAAAAGGGAGTGTTCCATCGGGAGCGACTCCAAAGGTCCCTTAAAGGAACGCAAGAGAAGAAGAAGCACCGCGGGTAAAAAAAATCAGAGAAAGAAGATACCGCGTGTAGTCGTCGTTCATTGGAGAATCCGCCACTGGTTTGAGTTGATCTCAGCCAGACTACCGCATAAAGCATCAAAGGATGTGCTTATCCGCAAAGGAGGGAATCCAAGGGCTAAGAATAGGGGAAATGTGTATTTCCCTAAGACAACTTAGGACACAGGCAAAGAGACTCCTTAAAAATAAAAGGAGGAGTGACATGCGACTCAGGCGTGGATAGAAGCTAGGGGTTAGGCTTTGGAATGTTGATCCCAAAGCTCACAAACCAGAACTAAGGGTTTGACCCTTAGATATCATTTTGTGGGGATCAAGTGGGGATGTTGAATCTTTGTTGACCTGTTTGTRTGCAGGTCTTTGCTTTGGTCTACTGCAGTTGAAGGAGAAGTCCTACATAAAGGACTCAATTTTCTGTTATCACTCGATAACAGGTCGGTCGTTGCCGATTCAACTTTTTCCCCTTTTGACTTGATACCCACGTCTAAAGTCTGTGATCAGTAAAACTGACACCTGTGGTCATTGCCTAAATGGTCCTAGTCACTCTCAATGGTYCTTTGAAGAAATGTGAGGGGGTTGGGCTTACGTCTCAGGAAAAGATAGAGATGCATTACATGGTTTGGGAAGTGAGGGACATAGTCTGATGTGTGGATTGATGGTTGACTCCGTTAGTGCATGGCATGTGAACTGTCTTTGCATTATGTTGTGCAGGTTTGTTTTGTGCATGATTTGGGCTGGACTGGAATTGACATCGTGAAGAGTTTGGGCACTCAGCACTTGTGAAAGTGGGAAGGGTTCCCAGCGGTAATACCTCGTTATTCATAATCAAGTCTTATATACTATCTAATGATCAGTCATACATTAAGTATAATAGATTATCTCGGTAGTGACAAGGTCTTGATACGTTGATCATAGAGGTCAGAAGGAGTAAGTGTTTTGAGAACAAAAGCGGAAATAAGACGATCGTCTCAAAGTTCGACATGAGTATCTAACGGGTCAGTCTTAGGCATCTTACCGCGAGTACCCCATTTTATGCTACAGCGATCGAGCAAACGCCCTCGGCCGACCTACCTCTACTCAGGCAAGTAAAAGCCTTCGCATGTGGGCCGGTAGCTCAACAGGGATACGCCTACCTGAGGGTGGTGATAGCCCCTCGGGTAGAGGTAAGTTGTACCTCGCGACGTTCCGACCTGTCGCAGGGCGTCGTGAGAGGTAAAGCACGCGTGCACGGTCGGAGTGGTGACTGATTCATTTTCAGAAAGACATCCTGCGTGACACGATAGTGAGGTTCAGCGCCCCCAACGGGGTGCGGGACCGCCGCGCGCGACACCGTGACATATACAGTAACGCACGGTCACACAGTATCACTCATGCATACAGAAACACAGCTACTATGACATGCAAACACGTTCACACAGTGGCATAGACATAGTGACACAAATGCTACGACACGCAGACACAGTGACGCAAGTGGACACACATGCACGGTCCCTGTCACGCAAACGCGCGGAGCATCAGACAAAGAACGAAGTGACCTTGGCTACTGAGTCGGTATAGGTCTGAGGGCTTGAGGATTGGCTCATTACTCTATTATATTGCTCTGTTTGGCTGGAGGCTCAGTACCATGATGCTTGCTGCTGGTATATAGCTACTTAGACACTTGTGTGATCTCACAGCCTGGGTTTGGATATCATTCGCTCTCATGTTCCTTATTATTATTATTATTATTATTATTATTATTATTATTATTATTATTATCTTCATTTGAGATCACATGCTAAAACAGGAATCAGAATCGGACAGGGGGACGAGGCAACAGAGCGAGGAAGAGGCGCCAACAAGTATGACGGCTCTTACATCCTTCATCCTCCTTCGCTTTCCTATGCCTAAACCCCACATAAGCACACAACCATCTTCAAACAATGTAAGGGAAATAGTATTTCAAATGACTTACTGAGATCAGGATTCATGCGCAAAGGACTCTCATTCCATATCTTGATCCATGTAACAGGGCGATTGCGGGAGCTCTGCCGGAGTTCAGGCGGAACTCTGGAGGCAAGGAACGATGAGGTACGTTACTTCGACCCAGAGACTGTCTCATACAGGCTATCATCGTGACAATGATCATAAGGGTTAGGAATTCAGAATCAATAAACTCTTGAAGTCTTGGATTGCGGGTAGAGAAAAGGTTGGCTGAATAGAGACTAATTGCTTCTGGGTACAACAATCTTGTTGTGGGCATTGATTGGAGGTATGGACACAAACTATCAGCCTTTCGCGATCATTCTCTCTATATCTCATCCAAACAGATGGTGGGTACCTTGATTTGAGTTGCCGTAATCAACTGTTATAGATCACACCGATCATTGTTCATTATACATCTGATCCAGCAATAAATCTCTAAACTAACAACGATTCTGGGCTCGAATGCCATCGAAAGCGATGATTTAAGTCATAGATAAAACTTGTGTGGAGGTAAGAACAGCAGGGAAAGTCTGCCTTAACTCCGATGAGCCTTACGCTTGGTAAGTGATAAGTGCAAGGACCCTTGGACACCCGCCTTATTGAGGGCTAGCCAGTGATAAGAGAAGCAGGGATATCCTGCCTTATCAGTGACTAGTCTGATATAAGAGTTGTGAGGTTTCAAGGACACCTGCCTTATCATTAACCAACTTAACATTCTTTTTAGTGATAAGAGTA